GAAACTGGGTTAGTTCAATTTGACTATAAGAGTGAAAAGCTTGTTTTAGGCCATCAACTGATACGGTATGCAGCTAGAAGCTATAAATCCTATGTTAGTTAGTCAGGCAGAAAGAACAACCAGCCCAGCAGTCGTCATAGTCCTACAAACTAATTGGAAGTTTCTCTAGAACATACAGCTAAAACTGTACAAGTTAAATCAGCTGCTTGTTAAAGCACGTATTATGTAGGCGTTAGGTCAGCATTTCTTCTGACTTTATACATTTAAGATCGTTTTTTTAAACCATAATCCTTTCGCTTGCCAGGCAGCTGCCGAGATGTGCCAGTACGAAACGACTACCTGAGCTCATTCTCTAAGCAGCCCTTTCCTGCATTTGGCATTCTACCAAGGAAACCGTGTTAGCTACAAGAATTGCAGACAGATGCTTACAGACTCATTTCACTGTTTATTTCAGCTGATGCCAAACAGTACCTGTAAATATTGTACACTAGCAGCAGGGGTCCCTTAAATGTAACATTGTACATCATGAACTGCACCAGCCCCAACAACTGCAAAAACAATCCACAGAAAATTTTTACCTTAGAATGCTTTTGAACACGCAGAAGGATCTCAAACAGCTCGACAGATTTCAAAGTCTGAACTTCTAGAGTGAGAAGGCACAAGGCCAAGACAGATGGCTAGAAGGACAAAAAACACCGCTCAACATGACATGAATCAAAACCTACTCAGAAGTCAAAGCTGCTACTTTTCTAAGTAGTCAAAGTACTTCTTACTTTTGCTTTAGAAAAGACTAGACGACAGTTGCAAGCTTTTAGCTGTGCTTCCAATTTGTCGAGATTCAATACTTCTTTCCTGTAAGACACCCAAGAGGAAAAGCATTTGTATCAACAAGCATTCACTTGTCAGGACGTAAAAACTAAGGAGCTGCCTCCACTACAGCCAATGCCACGGTCATTTAAGAGGCAACTAAAGAGAGAAAGGGCTTAGCAAACATAGACCGCCACCAACATGCAACTCAACTCACCTTTCTGAGGTATGACAGAGTACAATAGTATGGTACAAGTGCAAGAAGGTTAAGGCAGTAGTAGCTTTAAATTCAAAGTGCAACTTTTCTGAAATTATCTTTTCCATCCGTTTCAGGTCGGACACAGTGCATTTACATTGGCTGATCCGGATGATCTCATGAGCAGATGGAATATTGCATTCTTCTTCAACTACTCGGGCAGCCAGCTGGAAACAACAAACTCCAATGCAAGATAAATGCTTCGGTTTCACCTGAAAGTAAGCGGAAGCACTATGAATACTTACTTCCCCCCCCCCATAAACACCGTGCTTATCTGCAGCAACACCAACAGCTCACCCAGCCTAGGTGAGCTGTCTTGAATATTTACAGTTCAATAGAAAGAGATTTGCTTATCTCAACTAGACCTGACATGAGTCAGCTAATACACCTCACCTAGTCATAACTAGTTTCATGACTTAAGTTTCAGCAAAACACAGCTGGCAGAGCCAATAAAGCAATATCAATCTGCCATAGCTAAGTCAGAGGAAGTAAAGTTCAACAGCTGAGCACCCTCTATTGAAGTTGTTTCACATCACTACACCACAAATATATTGCAGGAAGAACTGCAATACCCTGCTTCTCCAAGCAGCAGCGCTCACTTACCCTCACTTAAAGCCTACACAAATCCAGCCTGAGCCTGTTCTAGGCAGTCCTATCCCTCCACAACTTGTTCCCACCTCTGCTACTCTCTCCCCATGTACCAGCATAACCTTTTGTGCAACCTCGAGGACAGTCAGACCCGAGAATTGATGCAACTTTCGTTTTTCTGCCAACTTAGTAACGGGGAACTGGTTTAGGTTCAAATCGTCTGCCATAAAGCAGCACAAACACGAGAAGAAAAACATCCCGGAAATGATCATTTGGTATTAGTTCCAGCACTAAGCTAAGCTGTCCCTAGAAATAGCCTGTAACACAAATTGTTTTGTTCCTTCTTAACGCCTCCTTTCTTTGTCTTCTACATCTACCTGGTGAAGGCTACAGACTTACTAGAGGAAATAAACCACGCTGCTACTTGACTTTAGAGGTAAGAAGAACTCTACTCAACTTCAGGTTTACAAAGGAGGACTTCAGAAACGTTGCTAGCATAAAATGAGTAAATAGCCACAGTTTATCTCCTAGATCACAACCTTCCCCTTTTTGTCAGGCAAGAAAGCTCACAGGAAGCTCGCCTATTCCCCACCGACACTATAGCAGGTCCTCTCCCCCCAAAATACCTTCATAAGAGCCAAGAATCTGTCCAGAATGTTAACAGCCAAAACAAACGTTTCAGTTGCAAAACCGAAAAAGTTGGTCAGACTCCAAAGATCTTCCACCTTGGCATTCCTTTGTCTCGGACACAGAGTGTTCTCATTCTACAGCAAGGGAAGCAAAGTCAGAATTATTCAGTGGCAGCAGTGATGACTGCGACCGCTCACTCCCTATGTCATCTTTTACTTAAATCAAAGGGAAGCAATTATTTTCTTCCATAAATACTTTATTTCTCCTAACTTCAAAAAAATTTTAGATATTTGAGACTCAAAACACACCCAAGGTAGACGGATTACAGCCAGGTCCTGAGTCTCACTGGTGCAATACCGAGCACAACCACATTTCCAAGTACGCACTTGTTATTTTAAGACAATAGTTACCAAGTGCGTACGTACACAGGGACTCCCGACCTTACGGAAACAGAGATGACCAAACTCAGCTTCTTCTCCTCTCTGCCTGCATGTCAATACTTAAGTGACAAAAGCTCTGCTTTCAAAACAAACAAGCAGGCTGATTTCAGAGACTTGCTTTGTTAAACGTTAAGGCCCTTTCCAAAAAACTCACCAGCATCCCCAGGAATGTAAGCCTGCCCCAAACGCAATAAGGAACTCTGGTCGTTAACGTCGATATGTTTATGCTTAGCTTTTTTTTTTTTTGCTGTTAAGCGCTGAGTGTTTCTAGGTTCGTTTCCCTAGACCTTGCTAAGGAAAAGCTGGTCATTTCCCCATTTGTTAATTGCCTACTTGACATCCCAGCTTTCCTGCAGTGGTACAAAGCTCCCGAGATGAAAACAACACACTGCTCTTGGTTCTGTGTTCACTCGAAGTTTAGAAGATAAATATTAAACGCCTAAATATTTTACTTGCCCTTGTAGGTCATAGTTCTTTGACAATGTAGCATATGTTAATAACTACAGATCAAGACAGAGTTAAAACAAAAGGCAAGTGGCGTTTACAGGAGAAAGAATTGACTTTCCCAAGCTAACGCACGTCTCCCTTCTAGCTCGGTTTTTTTTTTTTTTAAACACGTATATCCTGCCCAGAGGCTGCCTCCTCCCTCCGCGCCTACCCCAGCCCGGCTCCCCGCTCCCCCCCCCCCCACCTCGGCGGCGCACTCGATGAGGCTGAGCCCCTTCTCGCGGGGCCG